AAGGAAGTGTGTAGATGGGGTTCATCAGGGAGATTTGTCAGGTGACTGTGTGTAGATCTGTATTCACATACATAGTGAAGCAAGAATGAGCCGAAGCACTTTCTCACCTCCATCTTACCCACATTTGTGTGGCCTATTAAGTTAGGAGACTAAAGGAACGAACACTATTATGCTTTTCTTTTAGCCTCTCATTCCAAAGGCTAATCAAGTTATATTAGTTCATTAAATAAATGTGTTTCCATATCTTGAATTTCATTTATGGATTTTCTATAGTCTGTCAGGAAGGTAAAGGATGACTTTTTTGTTCTTGTCTTGTATAATCTAGAATTTAATCATGTTATATACTTTTTAAAACTCACATATTGAAAGTAAGAGTACTTCAAGGGCATAGCAGTTGAAAGCTCCTCTAGCACTGCTATTCATTATTCTGTTTTCTTCTCCATTTTATCAAATGGATGTAGATGATTAAAATACAGTGTTGGGGAGGGGTACTGCTTGTGACAGGTGAACTGGGAAGTTGTTTATGACATCTCTGTGAAAGCAGGCAGAAGTTATGAGGACAAATGCGTTCTTTTTAAAAAATTACTTCGTTGGGAATTTCATACTGTGCATATTTTTCATTTCACTGTCCCTAACTCTTTCCAGGTCCACTCCCCTTTCCTACCTACCACTTTGTTGTTGTTTGTCTTAGTTAGAGTTTCTATTGCTGTGATGAAATATCATGCCCAAAAAACAATTTGAGGAGGAAAGGGTTCATTAGGCTTACACTTCAGCATTGCTGTTCATTACTGAAGGAAGTCAGGACAGGAACGCAAACAGGGCAGGATCCTGGGGGCAGGAGCTGTTGCAGAGGCCATGGAGGGGTGCTGCTCACTGGCTTGCTCTCTGTGGCTTGCTCTGCCCACCTTCTTATAGAACTCAGGACCAGCAGCCCAGGGATGGCACCATCCACCATGAGCTGGGCCCTCCCCCACTGATCACTAATTGAGAAAATGCCTTACAGCTGGATCTTATTGAGGCATTTCCTCAACTGAGGCTCCTTCCTCTGATAACTCTAGCTTGTGCCAAGTTGACACACAAAACCAGCCAGTATACTGTTTTTACCTTTAATGCCTGATTTTTGATATCCATATATTCTTGAATGTGTGGCCATTAACTGGAATATCATTGACTTGCAAGGGGCTACACTCCTAAAGAAAACTGTCTCTCCCTTTACCAGCAGCTATCAGATGTCAGTAGCCAAGAGCTAGGGGAGAGATTTTGTGACTATCTACCCTCTCCATGTTGAGATTTAGTCTGTCTTAAATTTTCACAGGTCATGTGTATACTGCCACCACTACAATGAGTTCATATGAAGATGTTCCCCATCGTGCCCAGAAGAAACCCTTTCTCTGTAGTCATCCATCAGCTTCTAGCTCTTGCCATCCTTTTGTCCTGCTTTTGCAGTGATCTCTGAGTCTTGGGGAAGAGTTTGTGATGTAGATGTTCCATTTAGGAATAGGCATTTCATAGTCTCCTCTTTTCTGTATTTTGGCCAGTGGTGGATCTCCAGGTTAATCCCCATCTGTTGCAAATAGAAGCTTCTCAGATGAAGATGGAGGGATGTATTGATTTATGGGTATAATTATAAGCTAATAGAAATCTGTTTAATATGATGTCTGTTTCTGAGTATGGTAGCCATAGGTCTTCCCCAAGATCTATGCCCTGTCTACCCACAGGCTCTTGACCCTGATAATGATGCCAGGTTTCATCTTGTGGAATGGAACATATATCCACTCAGAAAGTGCTTGGTTGCTCCTGTGATGTTCATGCACCATGGGCATGTCTTTCCAGGTCAGTTATTACTGTAGCTCACAAGGATTACAACTGGCATCAGTGTTCGAGTTGGCTCACAATTTTCTCGGTAGTTATGTGAATACTGAGGCTGCCTGTGAGCTTTACTTTTTATTCAGTGTATTAAAGGGCAAGATAGTTTGTGCCTGTATGAGTGGGTATGTGTGTGAGTGTGTGTGTGAGTGTGTGCGTGTGTGAAGACTGTTAAGTACTTACATAAGACTCATTTAGATATTCATCACATAGGGCCAGTAGATTTAAATTAAAAGGAGGCTCTTTCTGAAAACATCCTAAGAGGATACAATGCTGTTTGTATTATCATGCAGTGGGCAATGATTTGAACTCTCACTCTAGCAGTGAAGCAGAATGTAGAAGGATGAAGTGTCTCATGCATTGTTTATGAAAGTGAGAAAAAAAGCATTAAAGGCACAAAAGATAGGACAGCCAAGTGTGCTTACGGAAAGGATGTGCTAAGAGAAGAGGATTCGCTGTGAGTGGCGACACACGTGTCCTCACTCCCTTTCCCCAACTCCTTTCGATGTCTAAGGAGACATAAAAGCATTGACATTTATAAACTATAAGCAATCACATATTTTTGCCATATAAAAGGCATTCCATGAATTTATGCACATCAGACATTATATATGTTGTGGTATGACATTAATTTTAAAGTTGGCCAAAGATGCAGTTAAAGACTAAAGATGGGCTTGAAGAACTTACAGTTTTACTCTTAAGTTCAAGTTTGTGTCCTCAAAATATTTTACAGGTGCAAACTTGAGACAGAAACTAGCAGGAAAGAAGGAGTCAACATAATGTTTTCAGATACTTCTTTTGAATATCTAAAAATCTTAATGTTACATTATGCTGTAACATGTCTTTTCTGACTTTTCACTGTATTGTAGCTCCCAGGAGGTGTGGAACTTTAGATCTTTCCTTAAGAGACATATGCAGTATTCAAAGTACTCAATAAACAGTTGAGTGAAGGAAAGAATGGTGACTAAAATTTACATCTATGTTGGCTATAACAACTGAAAAAATAATAAAAGAGAATGACGATCATAAGAATTAGCCCTAGAAAATTGTAATATACATGTATTAGCTCAGATACACATCACATACAGAGCAGATATTTTGTAGGATAGTAGAAAATCAGATACACTGAACTTATAAACACTTGGGGATTTAATTATATGTTATTTTGTTTGGCTATGTGAGTGTAAGTTAATTATGTCAGGATTTGGAAAAATACACAAGAAAAAGTAAATAGTGGGACACTTCTAATTGGCAATTTGGATAGTGGGAACCTGTTTATATACAGAGCTCTTTCTTCACCACGGAGGGGTTGGAATGGAGTGAAAGTCCTGTTATACCTTAGATTAATTTCACCCAAGCATTTACAGAAGCAGAAATCATTTGGTTACTCTGATTTCAAGCATTGTTTGTACAAAAGTTATTTACTCTTTGAAATGCTTCAAACACACGGAAAGCTAAAGATGTAGCGTGTGGCTGCTGCTGAGGATGCAGGTGCTTGCTGAGAGCTTGCCTAGCATGCGCGAAGCTCTGGGTTTACACTCCTGCACCTAATCCCGGCATTACAAACACAGAGGCGAGCAATCAGAGGTCCAAGCGCTCCTCAGCAGCACAGTGGGTCTGAGGCAGATTTGACCTACCCAAGACAATATTTTAAAAAATGAAAATTAAAGGCAAAAATATAGTGAGCACAAAGGTGCCTGGCACTTATATTGAAAACAAACTTAAGGAAAACTTAACTACTTACCATGAATATTTTTAATTTTTAATTTAATATTTAAAATGGAAATATGGCATTTTAGAGTTATCCAGTCTTATGTTTGCTGTTCATAGGTTGAAACGGTTTTATTTTGAACACACTTATAATCCCAGTAAACAGGAGACTGATGCAGGTGGATTACATAGCAGTACCTTGTCTCAAAAATAAATAAATAAAAGCAAAGAAGAAAAAGTACTTTTATAAGTCTTAGGAAAGATTAATTAAATTTTGTTTCAAAAGACAATTGCTTGAAAATAAAGAATATGCTGTTTGTCAAGCTAACACTTTACTATTTTGTACTACCTGACATGTTTCTCATCGCCTATGGTCTGTATACTTCTTTCCCCCACCATGCTGTATTATGTACAGAGCTTGGTTTACAAACTGTTAGCACTGGTTACTCTGGATGGATAGGATTAGGTAATGATAGAACTCAAAATTCTAAATTTTTCTGATAATATTTAAAATATTCTGTGATAAACATTTTTGAAATTATAGAAAATGTTACATAGGCACGCTTTTGAATTATCTTATAATTTGTTATATTAAACTCCACACTTGTTCCCAATCAATGACATATGAAATACGGGCGCAATTGTGCATGTGTATACATATATACACATATCTCTCTCACCTATGTACCTTCCTCTTGCTCTTGCTCCCCTTCTATAGTTTAAACACATTCATTTGCATTATCTACTGCCTAAAACACTTACAAGGAATCAATATTTTCTTTGCTAAAGCATGCTATTTATGGTAGTTAGAGAGTTGCCCCTAAAATCTCTTTCTAACTAAGCTTGGTTAATTTTTATTTCCCCGCGTGTGAATATTTGACTTGAGGTAGAAGCGATGTTCCTCTAACTTAAGAAATCAGCAATATTTCATAATTTGACAAGCCTACTCTGGGGTGTATAACTAAAACCAGCTGAGGACCCAACAGCAGAAAAATACATATCATAACATATTAATGGAATCTAATGCACTAAAATTCATGTTCTTATTATGTATTACTTTCTATTTCTGGAACTAAGCTATCTGTGCAAATCACGGATGAAGAATAACAAAATTAGCCTTGGAGGCAGAATAAAATTATGTTCTTTTCCTATTTATTTTTCCTAAAATATAGCATGCTTTAGTCTCTGAGGTTCATTATCTCCTATAAAGTGAAATTTCGCATGTTTGATTGAAATAATGACTGAATTTGATTCTTGGAATAATGAGTTAAAAATGGCAGCCGGCATGCTTTTACAGCTTTTGTGTTTTACGGTGTTATCTTACTGATGGTGGTTATATGTCATTTCCAGATCAAAGAGTGGCTCTGTTTAAACTGTCAGATGCAGAGAGCTCTAGGAGGTGAACTGGCTCCAATCCCGTCCTCACCGCAGCCCAGTCCGAAGGCTGCCTCTGCACCTCCTGCAGCAGCAGCCAGCAGACAGCCTGTACCATCACAGCCGGCTTCCCCGAAGAAGGAACCTCCAGCCAGACAGGACAGCCCCAAAGCGCCTGTACCATCCCAGCCGGCTTCCCCGAAGAAGGAACCTCCAGCCAGACAGGACAGCCCCAAAGCGCCTGAGCAGAAGAAGCCGCCGCCCCTGGTGAAGCAGCCAACCCTTCATGGACCTGCCCCAGCCACAGCCCCAAAGCCTCCAGTGGCAGAGGCCTTACCTGAGCCAGGCCCTCCCAAGGAGCCTTCCGCACCCCTACCTGAACAAGCCAAGGCCCCTGTTGTAGATGTTAAACCAAAGCAGCCCAAGATGGCAGAGCCACGCACAGATGTTCAATCTTCAGCAGCAGCAACAACAAAGCCTGATATGCTGAGTTCTCAGGCGCAGTCACAGGCTCAAGCGCAAACAGCCCCTCCTTTGAAAACAGACTCTGCCAAACCCTCACAAAGCTTCCCACCTACAGGAGAAAAAATCACCCCATTTGATTCTAAAGCCATGCCTAGGCCTGCATCAGACTCAAAAATTATTTCACATCCTGGGCCCAGTTCCGAGAGCAAGGATGCAAAACATGTTGATCCAACTCAGAAGAAGGAAGAGCCTAAGAAAGCACAAACGAAGATGAGTCCTAAACCAGATGCCAAGCCAGTGCCAAAAGGGTCACCAACACCCTCTGGCCCACGACCTCCCACTGGCCAAGCTGCACCCCCATCTCAGCAGTCCCTAAAGCCTCAGGAGCAATCAAGGCGTTTCAGTTTGAATCTGGGTAGTATCACCGATGCCCCAAAATCACAACCCACGACTCCTCAAGAAACTGTGACTGGGAAACTGTTTGGGTTTGGAGCATCCATCTTTAGCCAAGCATCCAACTTAATCTCCACAGCAGGCCAGTCCGGACCTCATCCGCAGACTGGGCCAGTGGCCCCAACAAAACAAGCGCCTACCCCATCACAGACTCCTGCTGCTCAGGGACCACCCAAGTCCACAGGTCAGCTCCCACCAGCAGCTGCCAAGGCAACGCCTGTGAAGGAAACAAAAGCCCCAGCAGCTGAGAGCTTAGAATCGAAACCAGAGCAAGCTCCAGCAGTGAAGAGGATAGAGAAAGACAAGAAGGCCCCACCCAGTAAGGCCAGCAAACCTCTACCTGCTGAGCCTGAAAAGGCTGTACTCACGCACAAGCCGGACAAGACCAAACCCGAGCCAACCTGTCCTCTTTGCAAAACAGAGCTCAACATAGGCTCTCAGGACCCTCCCAACTTCAACACCTGCACAGAGTGCAAGAGTCAAGTGTGCAATCTCTGTGGATTTAACCCAACACCCCACTTGACCGAGGTAAGCAACATCTACATAACATATGGATGAGAATATTTATCAGCTTATCCTGAATATTTGCGACCGATATCTCTGAGCAATAAAATATGTTTCCATTGAAAAAAGAAATGAATGTTGATGCTCAGAAAAGGTTAAAATTATTTCATCCACACATGAGTTCTTGTTCTTTGTGCTTTTATGGTTTATTACTTACACTAAAAGTAAGAGATGGACTGTACTAGAAAATTAAAATGACAGTGAGCCCAGTCTTTTATGAATTAAAGACCCAAGCTTGGAAGGCTCTTCGGTGTTCATATGGGAAGTCCACATAAAAGTTGGAATACATAGTTCTCATTTTCTATAACCCATCCCCTGTCTTTAATGTAGTTTATTGCTTAAGTTTATTTTACCTTCTGTATGACTCCAGATCTTGCTGTGTAGCCCAGGCTGGCATGGAACTCATGATCGTTGCTTCGGCCTCTGAGGTGCTGTCACGCTCTGGTCTTTAACACATTTTTCAAACAGAACTTTAGTTGATTCCATTCATATGCAGTATGAACAAAAACTGTTAAAAACTTTGTGTAAGTTAAGGATATTGCCTGGTAAAATTAGTGGTTCACTTATGATATATTTAGATTTTCTCTGTCTGTTGGTGATGTTGTCTGTTGATATAGTAAAGTCCATTCTGGGAGCTGTGGAACACAACTGTGTTTCTGTGACTAATGAGAAGACACTCTAATGAGATGATGTCAAGAACACTGTCTCCACAATGTAAATAACTAAATGTGGTTTGTGCTTTCTACCTGAGAATATAGCTGTAAAAGAGTGAATGGATAAGCATTAGTATGTGCTAAGGCTATTAGAATCTTTAAGAGGATATCAGGCACTCAGGGGTTAAAGGATCACTACTAGCTTAGACAAATAAAACAATGCCTTAATAAATATTTTGAAAATAAAAATAACTGTCTGTAGACGGAAGGTTTCTCCAGTCCCACCTGGCCCACAGTCCCACAGCCACTTATAAAGTAATTACTCAGAGGCTTACTTTAATTACCAATTGCATGGCATATGGCAGGCCTCTTGCTAGCTAGCTCTTATACCTTCCTTAAATTAACCCATTTCTATTAATCTTTGTTCTTCCACATGTTCCATGGCTTCCCGGTCTGCTGGCATGCTGTTCCTTGGGTGGCAGGCTGGCATCCCTCTGCCTCTCTTTCTTTTCCTGTCTGTCTCCCTGGGATTTTCCCACCTGGATTCATCCTGCCCTGCCATAGGCCAAACAGCTTTATTTATCAACCAATCAGAGCCACACATATTCACAGTGTTCAGAAAGACATCCCACAGCAGGTGTCCATCATATTTTCATTTTTAATTTTTCCTTTTTTACCTTTTATCTATTTATTTAATTATTTTGTATCCTGGCCACAGTTCCCCTCCCTCCTCTCTTTCTTATCCCTTCCACAAACTTACCCACACCCATGCACTCCTCCTCTCTTTCTCTTCAGAAAAGGCTAAATCTCCAATGGATATCAACACGCCATAGTTAATCAAGTTGCAGTAAGACTAGGCACCACCTTTTATATTAAGGCTGGACTAGGCAATCTGGCAGGAAGAAAGGGCCCCAAAAGCAGAGAACAGAGTCAGAGACAGTCCCTGCTCCCATTGTTAGGTGACCCAGAAGAAGATCAAGCTACACAACTGTAACATATATGCAGAGAGCCTAGGTCAGTCCCATGCAGGATCCCTGGTCATCGGTTCAGTTTCTCTGAGGTTCTGTGAGCCCAGGTTAGTTGATTCTGTGGGTTTTCTTTTGATGTCCTTGACCCCTCTGGCTCCTACAATCTGTTCTTCCTCTCTTGTGCAGGCTTCCCTGAGTCCTGCCTGTGTGTGTGAATCTGTTCCTGTCAGTTGCTGGATGAAGTCTCTCTGATGACAATTGGGTTAGACACCAATCTGTGTGTACAAGTAGAATAGCGTTAGGCATCGTTATAGTGACAGTTTTTTCCTCCAGGCATGTTTGGTTCTATCCTAGGTCTCTGGGTCATCCAGCCTGTGGGTCTTGGTGCTACAGGCAGTGTCAGGGGTGGGCTTACTCTACTGGCATGGGTTTTAGGCTAGACTAGTCTGGTTGACCACTCCTTCAATCTCTAGGCCACCTTTACCCAGCACATCCCATAGACAGGACAGACTATAGATCAAAGGTTATGTAGCTGGGTTGGTCTCCCAATCCCTCCACTTGAAGTCTTGCCTGGTCACAGGAGATGGCCAGTTCAGGCTATGTGTCTCCTATTTCTAGGAGTCTTAGCTGGGGTCACCTTGTAGATTCCTGGGAGAGTCCCTTGTGTTAGGTTTTTATCTGACCCTGAAATGCCCCCGTGTCCAGTTGTCTCTTTCAGTGTTTTCCCCCTCTAATCCAACCCCAGCCTGATCCCTGATCGCTCATCTTGTTTCCATCCCCATTTGCCCACAGTCCACTCATGAAATATCTTCTATTTCCCCTTCCCAGGGAGATCTGGACTTCCCCCATGAACCCTTCTTGTTAACTAGTCTCTCTGGGTCTGTGGATTGTAGCATAGTTATCTTTTATTGTACAGCTATATCCACTTATGAGTAAGTACATATAATGTTTGTCTCTTTGGGTCTGGGTTATGCTACTCAGGATGAATTTTTCTAGTTCCATCCATTTGCCTTCAAATTTTATGATGTCACTGTTTTAACAGCTAAGTATTACTCCATTGTATAAATGTTCCACATTTTCTTTTCTAATTCATTGGTTGAGGGACATCTAGATTGTTTCCAGGTTCTGGCTATTACAAATAAATCTTCTATGAACATAGTTGAACAAGTGTCCTGGTGGCATGATTGAGCATCCTTTGGGTATGTGCCCAAGAGTAGTATTACTAGGTCTTGTGGTAGATTGGTTCCCAGTTTTTTTTGAGAAACTGCCACACTGACTTCCAAAATGGCTGTACACGTTTGCACCCCCAGCAATGGAGGAGTGTTCTCTTTGTTCCACAGACTCTCCAGCATTAGCTGTCACTTGTGTTTTTGATCTTAGCCATTATGACAGGTGTAAGATAGAATCTCAGAGTAGTTTTGATTTGCATTTCCCTGATGGCTAAGGATATTGAACATTTCTTTAAGTGTTTGTCAGCCATTTAAAATTCCTCTTTTGAGAATTCTTTGTTTAGATCTCTACCCCACTTTTAATTGGATTATTTGGTATATTGATGTCTAGTTTCTTGAATTCCTTATATATTTTAGAAATCAGCCCAATGTCAGATGTGGGGTTAGTGAAGATCTTTTCCCAGTCTGTAGGCTACCTATATGCCCTGTTGATGGTGTCCTTTGCCTTACAGTAGCTTTTCAGTTTCATGAGGTCCCATTTATTAATTGTTGATCTCAGTGTCTGTGCTATTGGTGTTCTGTTCAGGAAGATGTCTCTTGTGCCAATGTGTTCAAGGCTTTTTTCCACTTTCTCTTCTATCAAGTTCAGTGTATCTGGATTTATGTTGAGGTCTTTGATCCATTTGGACTTGAGTTTTGTGCAGGGCCATATATTATGTCTGTCACTTTTATACAAATCAAAACTACTTAAGGACTCTTTCAGACCACTGTGTCTGATCTTGTGAGTCAGTCAGGCAGAGCTGAAGAGGCTTGGATGAGACATGTCAGAGAATCCTTAAGGTTTGTCTTATTATTTTGGAACTAAGTTTTTAAAAATAAATTTTAATTAAAATAGAAGTACCTCACTTTCTCCTTTCCTCCCTCAGCACCTCCCACATCCAGGTACCCTCCCTTCAACCCTTTCTAGGCCCCAGGTAAATGGATAGACCTAGAAAGACTACCGAATTCTTTAAAGAACAGACGTAGAGAGTTTTCATTGTTCACATTGAAAACACAGGAGAGTGCCGTGACATTGCTCGCACTATGTGCAAGCACCTTCCCTGCAGGATTCAGCAGATTTCCTTTCTCAGCTCTCATGAGCCTTCCTACCTAACGAACACTCATCTTTAAAGGCGGATACATATTGTCTCCTCAGCCCTTGGTGAGTGTTAACTCTTCTTATTGCCTGCAAATTAACTCCAGTGTAAATGTAAAACACAAAACACAATTTAATTTCTTCATAGTTTTAGAAGAGCATTTTGTTTGTGTGTGTGTGTGTGTGTGTGTGTGCGTGTGTGTGTGTGTGTGTGTGTGCATTCATCCTGAGTATAGTTTTTTCTTTTCCCTGTACAGCTGCATTCACTTAAGCTGTTAAAAAAATTGTACCCTTTAATGAGGAGCCTTATGGTGTCAACATAATGCGTTTATTGAAATAGCTGTAAAGCAAACAGCGCTACTGAAAACAAAGCTGTAATTTCTATATTTTCTTAACACAAACATGTATGTAGTGCAGTTATATGGCTTATAACACACATACAATGTTGCATATATATGCATACATACACACACAAATATTATTGTTTATGCATTTACTACATTTGACCTGTCATGAGTATTAAAGCTCTGTCAGAGTTTGGAATAGTAAAATGAGAGTCCCTTGAGTACAGAGTCAGTAAATCTTCCTGTGGAGTCTCTGGTATTCTGTATGTTGGTGAATCATGCCTGGAAGGAAAGGAGATTACTTGAATAAATTATAGAATTAACCAGCATGTGTGGAACTTTAATTTTGGAAAATTTGATGGTATAAGTTATTCAAAATTTTTAGATAGTTTAAGTAAGGTCCCATTTTAAATATGGCCCAACAGGATATAAAATGTCTGTCTCTCTTCACATTATTGTGATCTGCAGTAACTTCCTTGAATTTAGAAGACCATGATTCAGGAGAGAAGAAAATTTGATATAGCAAAAATGACTTGACCATGACTATGGTAAAGAGCTCATTCAGTTGACATAAGGATTTACCTCTGCTATTGGTAAGGTCTATTGGCTAGTCTAATATTAAGGAAGTGAATGAAAGTTTATTTATTTTATGTTCAAATAGTTCATATTATTATTGTCTCTAAAACTTTGGAGGA